AATTCTGGCCCCCGAGGGTCTATTTTCAAGCTTAAGTCTAAAAAAGTGCATTTTTAGACTTAGTTTTCAAACCGGGAGTCCTGTGCTAGTTCCATAATTTTCCACAGCTCGCATTGGTCCCTTCCGACGTGTTTGAGGTGTTCCTCCGGCCATCCTGTGGTTGTTGCACAATTTTGGCCCCCAGTGGCTTATTTTCAAACTTAAGTGTGAAAAATTAAATTTTTGCACTTAGTTTTCTGACCAGGAGTCCCGTCCTAGTTCCGTAAGATCCCATAACTCACATTGGTCCCTCTCGAGGTGTTTGAGATGGTCCCCAGACCGTCTCGTGGCTGTTGCACGATTTTGGCCCTCGAAGGTCTATTTTCAAGCTTAAGTGTGAAAAAATGCATTTTTGGACTTAGTTTTCAAACGGGGAGTCCCGTGCAAGTTCCGTAAGTTTTCACAACTCACATTGGTCCCTCCTAAATTGTTTGAGGTGTTCCACGGGCCATCCCGTATCTGTAGCACGATTTTGGCCCCTGAAGGTCTATTTTCAAGCTTAAGTGTGAAAAAATGTATTTTTGGACATAGTTTTCAAACCGGGAGTCCCGTGTTAGTTCCATAAGTTTCCATAGCTCACATTGGCCCCTCCCGACGTGTTTGAGGTGTTTCATGGGCCGTCCCATGGCTGTTGCACGATTTTGGCCCCTGGTGGCCTATTTTCAAGCTTAAATGTAAAAAAGTGCATTTTTGGACTTAGTTTTCAAAACAGGAGTCACGTGCTAGTTTCGTAAGTTTCCATAACTCACATTGGTCCCTCCCAAGATGTTTGAGGTGGTCCCTGGGCCGTGTCATGGCTGTCGCACGATTCTGGCTTCCAAAGGTCTATTTTCATGCTTAAGTGTTAAAAAGTGCATTTTTGGACATAGTTTTCAAACCGAGAGTCCCCTGCTTGTTCCGTATCTTTTCAAAACTCACATTGGTCCCTCCCGAGGTGTTTGAGGTGGTCACTGGGCCGTCTCGTGGCTGTTGCACGATTTTAGCCCCTACTAGTGGCCGGTTGGCTGCTGCTGGTGGCCGGTCGGGCACCCTTTCCCTAAACTTCTTTTTTTGCTGCAACAGAGAGCAAACAGAGGCAAAACAGTGTATTCTCAAGGTTTGTGTGTACTGTTACTCTTCTTATCATTACACAAGCTCAAAAAAGTGCAACTTTTGGTCTTCAAACCATCAACCAAGCATTTTCAATGCATGATGGCTATGGAACCAAACTTGTACAAGCTCTATGAGTGCAAAATAAGACTCAACAAAGCCACAACCCTATCATGTATGATCAAGGGTGATGGCAACCAAGGAAAGTGGCACGTTTCATCACTTTGAGTATGAAACGTCCCATTTTCCTCGTGTTCGAATTAACGTCCGATCCGAACACATGCAATGTAACACAAAAGATGCCTTATCTTGCCTTTTTTACTTGTTCATTTTTGTTTACTCATTTTAGATTACCAATCCATTCTTTAATCGATTAGTCCAAAAGGTGAGTGTCCTCTAATTAAAAGTAGGCTTAAACCACAAGTGTCTTGAGCGTGAAAGAGACCTCATGCTGTTGGTAATGAACTTTCGAAGGAATTAAACCATTAAGTATGAATGTCTCCATTTCATACTCAAGCCAACAAGGGGTTCAAAGCCACTTTCAAAATAAATGAAAGAGTGAAGAATAGAGGGAGATTGCAGAGATTTCAGTGCTAAAATGGAGTGTAAAATGACACTAAAACATGCAAGTAACTCATGCAATTCATGTTTAAAAGCCTAAAACATTAAGCTAGTGAAGCCTCTTCACACTACAACCGCACAATACAAGTCTCAAAGGACCAAACCAGCTCAAAACAAAGTTGAAATCAGTCAAAACAGTAGCAAAAACAAGCTGAGATTAAGGTACAAAATGCTAGAAAAACATACTCACATGTTAAGCTATCTAGGCATGCAAACAAGACACAAGGAGGGGAGGCTACCCCCTCCAATTTTGGACTTCAAAACAAGGTTTTTGCCACTGAAATAACTCTAAATTTTAGTGGTTTAAAGGCCCAAAAGGTTTGATTTGAATATGCTAAAAGATGGTGCAAAAGTCTACACAATTAAGCAACAAGAATGGTGGATCACCCCTCAGCACAAAATAGCCTCAAACCATCATGTTAAGCCTAAAAAAAAAACAAAGTTTTTTGTAGTTGAAAATCAGCTCAAAAACGATACAAAAGGATGGCAAAATAAGTAGTCAAAGCAAGTACACTATGCAAGTGAACTACCTCTTGAAGCTCAAGCACAAAATAGCTTCAAATTCTAGCTCAAACCTCCTTCAAGAGCACCATCATGTTAAGCCTAAAAAAAAACAAAGTTTTTTTGTAGTTGAAAATCAGCTCAAAAACGATACAAAAGGATGGCAAAATAAGTAGTCAAAGCAAGTACACTATGCAAGTGAACTACCTCTTGAAGCTCAAGCACAAAATAGCTTCAAATTCTAGCTCAAACCTCCTTCAAGAGCTCAAACTAAACTCCAAAGAACCTTAGCTCAAAGGTGAGAGTGTTTGGTTAAGGCTTGATGTGCAAAAGTGTAAAGAAACAAGACTTTAAGGCATAAAACAAGAAGAAAAAGAGAGAGAGAGAAAGAGAATTTTAGAGAGAGAGAGATAGAGAAATTTGATCCAAATTTTCTAACCCCTCCAAATGGGGGAGAGCACCCTCTATATATAGAAAACCAAGGTTGAAGCTTGAAATCATCCTACCATACACGTGTATGGAGATGCACTTCAGTGAACAACAGTTGGCACAACTGGCAAACAAATATCTGAAAAAAAGAGAGAAATGGTTGTCGGCCACCACTGGTGGCCAACCAGCCACCAACATAGCCGATTGGCAACCACTGATGGCCAACAGGCACAAGTCATGGCCGATAGGCTATGGGGCTAGCCGACAAGCCACCCTCTCCTCCAGACTTGAAACAACAAGCTCTTGGTCCACAACCAAGCACAAAGCAAATAAGGTTCGAAGGCTCAAAGACGAGGCACCCAACCAAGATCTACAGGCACTCAAAACGAACACGAGCATACAAAATCATTGAGTGTTCAAACGACGACGTCCAAGTCTTGAGAACGGTCAAAAATAGGGTGTCTATAAGTGTATTTGTAATTTATCCCCAATTTTTTTAGTCAAAAAATCAAAAGTCATTGTCATAACACTTTTTTTTTCTCTATATTTTTTATAAAAATTTAAAAGATTACTGAAATAATCTATTCCTAAATAAGGTTTTAGTTCAGTAATTCCTTTTTTTTGTTCTGTTATGGTGGACCCTCACTAACCTTTGTGGTTTGTGCTAACACATGATCTGAAGCGTTTTTTTGATGTGGATTTAGTTGGGATTGAATAATTTTGTTATGATATATATATATATATATATCTATATATATTAGGGGTTGGATTCTCTTCAGTCTGTGATCAAACTGGAGGGTACTGTTAGGCTCATGGGGGCCTACCACGGGTCTCATTTCGATAATCTGAACCATCAAATGTGTAGAACTCGTCAAGTACTATATATTTGTAAACAATCACGTTGATCAGATATCGATAGCTATGTAATCAAATCAGTTTTGTATAAAAAAAAAATGAATGGTGAAAAAATAAACAATATCTGATCCGATGAAATAGCTATCGATATTCGATCAATGTGATTTTTTACAAGCATATAATACTCGACGGGTTCTATACATTGAACGATTAAGATTATCAAAACAGGACTTGTGATGAGCCTCCATGAACCTAACAATACCCTCCAATCTGATCACAGGTTGAAAGAAGGCCCAGTTTTTTTTTTTTTTACTTTATTAATGTAAATTCATATGTGCTTATGTTGTTTCACCGATATAATTTCTTCGGTCAATTGGGGAAAAAATAAAAATTAGATGATTCTATTCATGGCTGACCAGTTTTGCTCTGTACTTCCGTTGAAAAAAAAAAAATCACCTAAGAATGAATTAATTTTGAAAAAAAAATCAAAAAAATAAAATAAAATAATGTGACTTTTTTAATTATATGTCAAACACCTAAATAATGTAGATGACGTGATATTACTTTGCATTTTTTTTATTATTATTATTGGAGGAACGGACACTTGTGGTTCGCTTTAATGCCATGTGAACCGCAAGTGAAATACCATGTGATGCAAGTGTTAGATTGGATTAAAATTCTTTATTATAGATCTATGTGCAATGGATTTTCTTGTGGCAGTTCAGCAGTTTAAGTTTACAGTTGAAACAAAATAATTAATTTTAAAATGTGTAATTTAAAGATATTATTTTACTTTAATTTTAAACTTAAACCAAAAGATTATATAGATAGATTATTTTACTTTAGGCCTCGTTTGGCAAGAGGCTATTTTAGCCAATTAGCCAAAAAGTTATTAATTTAGCCAAAAAGCCAACAACCCATACCAAAAAGTCAAAGATTCTCTTTTCTCTCTACTTTTTGCACATCTTTTCGTAATTAGCCAAAAAGTCATCCCAAACATACAAGTTTTTTTTACCTACCTTTTTAGCCAAATAGCTAAAAAATTACTAAATTAGCCTGTTCCCAAACTAAGCCTATGTCTTCTCTCTTGTTAGATTCATAAAATGAATATATAGATAGATTATTTTATAAGTCTGGACGCACTATCTCTTAATACTATACAACAATCCATAACTTATCACACTTACATTGGGTTTGAAGTTAAAATCATACCACGTGCTCTGAACACTTGTCATTTGGTTTAATCACATCAAGTGACAACAGAGACTCAAATCCAAGTCTTTTAAGTGAAAAATTCAATTGTTTACCAATCAACCAATCTTTTTGCTGAGTTGCCATTCAGCAAGAATATTGCAAAGAAGAAAACAAAAAAGAAAGAGAATTCAAGTGGGAGTTGGATTGCTTTGGCAAATTTGTAATAGTACCAGAAAAAATGACAAAATTTTAAATTTGATATAGAAGACAAATAATAATGAAAATACCTCTTCTGTTATTGATTCCAGAAAAAAACAAGACAAAGTTCACATTTCACAAGAAACAAAAGCCAGTAGGCCTGTACCAACTCTCAACTGCTGAAAATGAAAGCAAACAACACCACTCAACACTCACCCCCCACAGCATTGAAACCATAAAAGTAACATAATAAAGCACAGATGCGAGATAGAAAGTGAATCTTATATTAGATCTCACCTCTCATTCAAAAGATTAGATTTCACATCTGTATTTCATTTTGCGAAAATCTTTTATATTTTCAATACGGACATCAATAATTCTTAGTAATCTGTGGTGGGGAGCTGCTCATGAGTGCTAGGGGAAATGAAGATGAGTTCATAGACCAAAGCCGCGATTGCGGAGCCGATGAAGGGGCCAAGCCAATAGACCCAGTGGCTGTCCCAAGTCCAGCTGACTACGGCGGGACCGAAGGACACAGCTGGGTTCATGGACGCGCCATCGAAGGCACCACCGGCTAAGATGTTGGCACCCACTATGAAACCAATTGCGATGGGTGCTATGATACCCAAGTCACCCTTTTTGGGATCCACGGCTGTAGCGTAGACTGTGTAAACCAAACCAAAGGTCATCACTATCTCGAAAACTAGTGCGTTCCATACTGTCACACCGGATGATAGTGAAAATGCTGATGTTTCCTGCAGTATTAATATCAAATTAGTCAAATTAAAAAAAATTATTGGACTGCATTTTTTTTTGTTATTCACCACCCAATTGTATAAAATTTGTCGATAATTTTTCCATTTGTGTGATGTTTTGTTTGTCATTTTTGGATAGATTTAACTATACAAATTATTTCTAAAATATATGATTTGTTAGTACTTTAGTATCTAATTTTCTTATTTTTAGTTGTTAAATTGTAAAAGCTGAGTTTAAATTTGGATAAACTATCAATAGGTTCTAATAGTTGGATTTACTTCCTATCAAATCCTATTAAAAATAAGTCGTAGTAAATTTTTTAGTAAAAATAATTTTTTGTTATGATATTTTTTTGCATGTATCACTAAAAATTAATAATCAGTCACTTTTTTGTCATATTTTTACAAATTGTAGCTAAAACTTACAATTAGTGACTTTTTTGTAACGAATTTTTCAAACTGTCTTTGAAAGTTGAAAATTGGTGACTTTTTGTGATAATTTTTTTGAACCGTCACAAAAACTTATAATTAGTGATATTTTTTGTGACAAAATTTTCAAACTGTTGCTGAAAATTAATAATTAATAATGTTTTTTAATAGTATTTGATGAAAAACGCCATTAATTCTCACATGATCTATTGACAATAAATTCACCTATTAAGATCTACACGTAGGGACCCGTTAAAATTTTCCAATAATTGTCTTAATTAACTGGAACTGTGATATTTTCATAAATTATAAATAAAATGTAATAAAATTTAAAGATTGGCTACCAAAATGCAACCAACTACATATTTTGGCACCATATGTGTATTTGGTTTTTGTGATTTTGTTGAGTGTTTATGTAAAATTCTAAAAATCCCAAACTCTCGTTAACTGATAGACAGATACTGCTATATATGGATCATTTAAATACACCATTTTGTAGTTTGGGAATCAAACTGTTTAATTAAAAAAAAGAAGAGCAGAAACTAAAATACAACAAAACACATGCTTTAAAAATAATTTATGTAGTTTAATTTTATTTTTTTATTTATCATTTTAGCATATTGTGAGTTGACTAATGCTACCAATTCAAACAAATATATCTCAAAATTCTTAAAAAAAACTACGTTTGACAACTCACATTAAATACTGAACTCCACCTCACAATAAATATAACGACAAATAAAGGTGGAACCCATTAACTAACTGTGTATAAGTATGTTTTGTAGATAATTTTTAAGTACATTTTACACTCACTCTTTTTATTAATAATTTATGGTTGAATTTAGATTTTTATCCATTTGTCTTACCAGTCCCCCAGTAGCGAACTTAAGCAACAAGCAAGCCACAACTGATCCAAGACATTGAGCAATCCAATACAAAATGCTTCTCAACAATGTTATATGACCCCCAAGAAATGCACCGAATGTCACAGCTGGGTTCACATGCCCCCCTGAAATGTTAGCCCCTACCGATACCGCTACGAACAGTGCAAAGGCATGGGCCAAGGATGCGGCCACAAGTCCTGCTGGTGTTGTCGACCCACCATCTGTTAGTTTGCCTGTCAAACGAGAAAAGAGTTAAACTTCACACCTCATAAAAATTGTACCCTTCAAAGCAATTACATAATCAGAAAAAAAGGAAAAAAGAAAAAAAGCTTAAATAATGCTTACTGAAAGCCATGCCAGCGCCTTCACCAGCAAAAACAAAAATGAGCATGGAAATGAACTCAGCTAGAGCCGCTTTCAGGGCATCTGGCTGACTAGCCTCAGCTGGGCTTCCCACCGCAATTCTTGAAATTGGCATTTTTCAAAATTAAAATTTAAAATTTTAATTAAATGACAAAAATTGAAAAGACTATTTCCAATTGCAAACACCCCCTTTCTCTGCTTGTTTTTGGTTCTTTCTATCCAAAGTTTTATTAGTGAAGCCTATATATAGCGTGGTCTAATGATGACCGTTGTGGAAACCGGAATAGCCGGTTGGTATCCGGTAACGGCTAAATTCCAGCGTGAAAATAGGAAATTAAGGAAAGGGAGCGCCAATTGTAATTGTCTGTGTTTGGTTCATGTGACGCCACGTGTACTTGAGAATTATGTGGACCGTCCAAAATTGGCTGACGCCGACCAAAAATGTTTGAGGCGAGTAGGTCCCTTTAAATGATTGCGTAGTAGGTGCGTATTTTTTTGATTAATTAACCGACATTGGGGATTGTTTATATGGTGTGATTGAGACCATCGTGGTTAGATGCGCTGGCACTACTCTCACACATCAGTGCCACGTAAGGATCAGATCAATGACCCCCATTGTTTATAAAAAAAAAAATTATTAGGTGGCTAGGGATACATATGTTCTAATTTTTAATCAATTATCAATTTTCATTTTTTCTTTAACATTCTCATCGCCCACAGAAATCAGTAGATACTACTTTCTCTTCCAATCATATCTAATTTGAAAGATCAAATGACTGCCTGAAGCACCAAATAACTTCCCTATTCATGGAAATCATGGGAAGGTGCTGTGACTTGTCATAATGATGAGTTTGTTTAGTTACAAAAATAAAATAAATTTGTTTTAAAAAAAAATTAAAAAAAAAAAACTTAAAAAGATTTCACTGTTGTTTGGTAAAATATATTTACAGTTTTAAAAAAAATGAACTTGAAAAAAAAAATAATAAAAGTTGTTTTTAGTTTATGTGAAGCGTTTTGGACTGGGAAAAAAAAAATTAATAAACCTTTTTTTTTTCTGAAAAAATTATCAAATACATTAATTTTTTAAAAATAGAACTACTTATAAGCATCAATTTTTAATTTTTAAACTAAATAAGCTGCTAAACAAATTTTGTCAAAGAAGCGTGAAAGAAGTTGTCAAATAATTGTTAAATTTACCAACTCTCTCTCTCTCATGAAAAATTATTATATAGGTTCACATTATATAGGTTCACTTTATATCTCACGCGACATGCCCTTTTAATTCTATTAATTACATACTCGTTATTTCTTATTTCTTCTCTTATGTATTACATAAAACAAGTAATAAAATTAGAAAGACACACAATCTAATTAAAATTCTTAGAAGACATGATAATTCCTCCTCTCTCACACAATCTTCACTACTTTGCTTCAATCATATCCCATTTCAATCATCTACAACAAAATGAAGATAGCTTATGAACACTCTTTTAAAAAGAAAGCATTATCACGAATTTTCTCTTCAAGAAAAGGACAGACAATGTCAATATTTTCTCTCTATTTTATTTTTTATTTTTTATTTTTTTCACTCCACGTAAAAAACAGTCTAAGATGCTCTGTTAGATGGACTAGAAATTAAAAACCCAAATGAGTTGTTACACTTGATTGAATATTGAGTAGGTAATGTGGGGGAGATAGTGGACTCACTAACCAAATTTAATACAAACCCATGTATGATTTATCCTAAACCAACCACACCCCTCATCCATTTTCCTATCATGTAATTGATGATTTAATCAGACAAACAATATTATAATTTGAGCTTATATAAAACTTATAATAGTCCAAATCTCTACTCGTCTTAATCGTGTCGGGGAATATGCTTGATCATATGGATATTAAAGAATGTCTTTAATCTCCCTCTCTAATTTCTTTATATTATCTACTAATTAATTTATGTTGGACGGCTGAATGGACAATATGATGTTTTCTCTCTTTTCTTTTCTTTTCTTTTTTTTTCATTTAATTTTTTTTTCTTTTCCTTATTATTTGGCGCTTTAGAATTTTTTAAAAGGAATGCGACTACGTCAAGGTCTATCAATGGATCCGAGCATGATCTCAATTTACTAAGGCTTTGCTTGAAAAATTGTCTATTTTAGTCATCGTTTGGAAAAAAAAAAATTAGTTGGCTTTTTAGAGTTGGAATTTTTTAATTTAGGACTAAAAAATTCGTTTGACAATTTTTTTTTTGACTTTTTAACTTTTGTGAAAAAAAAAAAGTAAAATGATTATAGTTTAGATGTGACATTTTATTTTATTGACTTATTTAGTCTATTTTGTCTTTTATATTTTTTTAGTTCTAATTGAGATAACTAAACGAAATCTTAATTGGCTATTTGACTTTTTGACTATTTTAACTTGGATAAAATAGTTATATTTTGAAAGTTGATTGTTTTTTTTTTTTTTTTTTAGTTTTTAGGGACCCCAAATAAATTATCAATTTTTTTACCAAACCTCTGTGGGACCCACATACATGTGATTTGTGTGGATCTCACACCCATGTGAGAGGTTTGATAAAAAATCTGATAATTTATTTGGGATCCATAGCATTTTTCTTTTTTCTTTTTTTCTTTTTTATAGTTGATTTGATAATTGTGAGAAGAAAGTAAAAGATTAGATATAACATTTTATTTTATTAATTATTTTGATCTATTTTATCTTTTAGTGAATTATTTTAACCCAACTCTATTTTCAAACAAGGCCTAAACTGGACGATTATGGTAAGAAAGTTGGAGACCAAAAATCCATTGACAGCATGGATCTACTAAAACCTAATGATTAATGAAACAAAATTGAATAAATTAAGGTTAGGGTAAACTATTAACAGATTATAATAGTTAAACAAAAATGCTTTGGAACCCCAGTTTTGAAGGACTTCCAGTGACCCCCAGTGATGTGGCAGCATGTGATTGGTTGAAATTTTTTTTTTTTTTTTCCCTTTCCCTTGGTCCACAACCCCCCACGTGGAGGTGGGGGTGCTGGGGGTGCCTCCGTACTGGGGGTGCCAATCACTGCTCAATAGTTAAATGTAATTTTTATTAAGGTCTATTGAAAATAAATTTGAATAAAATTATTACTATAATTAATTTTTTGTAATGATTTTTTACAAATATTGCTAAAAATTGACAATTACGGACTTTTTTGTTATGATTTTTATAAATTATCACTAAAACTTATAATTAGTGACATTTTTTATAACGAATTTTTAAAATTGTCGGTGAAAGTTGAAAATTAGTAACTTTTTTTTTTAAATTGCCGCTAAAACTTATAATTGTGATATTTTTGTGATAAAAAATTTCAACTATCGCTGAAAATTAATAATTAGCGACTTTTTTTTAATAATATTTGATAAAAAATGTCATTAATTATCAGAGGTACTATTGAACAATAAGTCTACTTTTTAGGAGTTACATGTAAGTCCTATATATACATGACTCAATTTATTTGTCTTAAATATATAAGGGTGTGTTTGATAACGTTTACGTTTTCAGTTTATATTTACAAAAATTTTATAAACTGATTTTTGTTTATTTTTTGTTTATTTTTAGAAAAACATGAACTGCAAACGCGTTTGGTAATTAACAAAATGTTTAAAAAAATTTAAAAATATAAAAAAGAGTGAGAAATGGCAAGTGGTGGCAAGTGGCTGCGGAAGATGGTGGTGGAAAGTGGTGCCGGTGGGTGGTGGGTAGCTGGCGGTGGTGGGTGGTGGCTAGCTGGTGGTGGCGGGTGGTGGTGGTGGTGGGCGAGTGGGTGACGGTAGTGGGTGGTAGCGAGTGGGTGGTGCTGGCGGTAGGTGGTGGTGGTGGTGGTGGTGGTGGTTGTACTTCAGCAAAAGATTTTTAATCTGTTCTTTTTTTTTTTTTTTTTTTTCCTATCTGCCAATCACAATGCCCCATGTGGACTGGGGGTGCTGGGGTCACCCCCCACTGGGGTCCCCAGCACGATTGTAATAGTTAAACAAAAATGCTTTGGAACCCCAGTTTTGAAGGACCCCCAGTGACCCCCAGTGATGTGGCAGCATGTGATTGGTTGAAAATTTTTTTTTTTTTCCTTTCCCTTGGTCCACAACCCCCCACGTGGAGGTGGGGGTGCTGGGGGTGCCTCCGTACTGGGGGTGCCAATCACTGCTCAATAGTTAAATGTAATTTTTATTAAGGTCTATTGAAAATAAATTTGAATAAAATTATTACTATAATTAATTTTTTGTAATGATTTTTTACAAATATTGCTAAAAATTGACAATTACGGACTTTTTTGTTATGATTTTTATAAATTATCACTAAAACTTATAATTAGTGACATTTTTTTATAACGAATTTTTAAAATTGTCGGTGAAAGTTGAAAATTAGTAACTTTTTTTTTTTTTTTAAATTGCCGCTAAAACTTATAATTGTGATATTTTTGTGATAAAAAATTTCAACTATCGCTGAAAATTAATAATTAGCGACTTTTTTTTAATAATATTTGATAAAAAATGTCATTAATTATCAGAGGTACTATTGAACAATAAGTCTACTTTTTAGGAGTTTGTGTTTTCATTTTTTGGCCAAATTTATAAACTGAGACCACTGATTTATAAATCAAAAATTTTATCAAACAAGTTTTTATTTGAGTTTTAAAAATTTTTGTAAATATAAACAGAAAACTGAAAACGTAAGTTTTACCAAACGACACCTAAATATTTGATATAAATAAAGAACTTGAACTGTTTTCAATTGAAGTATTCCAACTAAATAGTTCAATCTAGTCCATTTTGAGTTTGTCTCGATGATTCAAACCATTTAATGTGTAAGACTCGTCAAGTAATTCATTCTTATAAAAAATCACATTGATTGGATATCGATAGCCACTTGATCATATTACATTTGTAACAATAGTTTATTTTTAAAATCATATTTATCATTGACACAAATTTGATCTGATCAAGTGACTATTGATATTCGATGAACATAATTTTTTTACATGAATAAAGAACTTGACGAGTCCTATACATTGAAAGTTCGAATCAGTAATGTGAGCTCAATGGTGGGCTCACTAATGCCCAACAGCATGTCTTAATCTAATTTCGAACCGAAAAGAAACCACAACCTAAAATAAACTATGAACTCCACTTTTACCCATAATTAAGGGGTTGTTTGGGATATCCTAAATAAGTGTACTTTTTGA